CTCATCGATGTTTCTAACTCTCTATCCCTCTCCCTTCCTCTCTGTAAAAAATCAATAAGATATATTTTAAAAAAACAAAACAAAACAAAAAGAACCACCAGTGAATGTACCAATAAGTGGAACAGCAAATCTCTCTCTCTCTCTCTCTCTCTCTCTCTCCTCTCCCTCTCGCTCCCTCCTTCCTCTCTCTAAACAATAAAAAATAAACAAAACATTTGTTTAAAACAAGAAAGAAACATTGTCTTGAAAGGAAGATGCTATGAGACTGGGAAACTTTCCAAAGTCTTTGAATTGTCGCCCGTGAAATCGCTATAAAAACTTAGTCCTGCTCAGCCGGGGGGCTCGGTGGTTGAGCGTTAACCTATGAACCAGGAGGTCAGAGTTCGATCCCCGTCAGGGCTCAGGCCCGGGTTGCGGGCTCGATCCCCAGTGTGCAGGAGGCAGCCAATCAGTGATTCTCTGTCAGCATTGATGTTTCTCTCCTTCTCCCTTCCTCTCTGAAATCAATAAAAAAAATATTTAAAAACAAACAAACAGCGCAGGAAGGGGCAGGGGTCAGCAGTGCAACAGGAAGAAAAGATGATGATGTTGGGAAGTTATGTGAGACCATAACTACAGGAAGGGGCGTATTAGTCACCATTCTCTTTGGTGAGTAATTCTATCACTGAAGATGTTTAAGCAGAGATGTTGTTGAGATGCCTTAATTTCTGCAACAATTTACCTGCGTTAGTACCATGTAATACCTTAGCAAAGTCTATCTCTTCCCTTCTGTGTGTTGGGAGTTTATTGTTTCTCTTTCTTTTCTAGTTTCTTACGTGGACCTTCAGATGATTGATTTGGCACCTTTTCTTCTTTTAGTAGAAGCATTCGGTGCTATGAATTTTCCTCTAAGCACTGCTTTAGCTGCATCCCACACATTTTGATATATTGTACGTTCATTTTCACTCGGTGCCTAATATTTCCTAATTTCCTTTGAGTGTACCTCTTTTACCTACGGAGCATTTGGGAATCTGTGGTCTAATTTCCAAGTGATTGGATATTTACCTGTCATTTTTCTGTCACCGATTTCTAGTTCAATTTCATTCTGTTCAGTGAGTTCGCTTCTTTGAACGGGTTAAGACTTGCTTCACGGACGAGGATACGGTCCGTCGTGGTGCATGTCCCATGAGCACTTGTGTATCTGCTGTTGTTGGGTGGAGTGTCCCGTAAATGACAATTGGATCCAGATGGTTGATCATGTCGGTTTCTTCTAAATCCCGTGCTGATGATCTGTCTCCTCGCTCTGGCTGTTACTGAGAAAGGAGTGTCCAAGCCTCCATGTCTGTGGTTTTGAATTACAGGAGAAATAGACAAATATTTTCCTTCCTTGCCATCTTTTAAAAAATATATTTCTTTATTGATTTCAGAGAGGAAGGGAGAGGGAGAGATTTAGAAACATCAATGATGAGAGAGAATCATGGACCAGCTGCCTCCTGCACGCCCCCGACTGGGGATGGAGCCCACAACCCAGGCCTGTGCCCTGACCGGGAATCGAACCCTGACCTCCTGGTTCCTAGGCCGACGCTCAGCCCCTGAGCCTCCCGGCCGGGCCGGCTGCGCATGCCCATCGAAAGTGTGCTTCTTGCAGACGCTGGGTCCTTCTATTTCTGTCCAATGCGGGAAACTCGGTGCTCGCTGCGTGAGTTTGGATCATAGACTCGGCGCGGTGATGGATACGATTGGAACGAAGTCAGCGCTCTTCCCAGTTCTTCTGTTTGTTCCATCTGTGCTCTGTGCTCTTTCGCCTTTTTTTTTTCTTTCTTTCTGCTTTTGGATTATTTCAGAGTTTGTCATGGTTCCATCTTGTCTTATTATTAGCTTAGTCCTCAGCTCTCGGTACCGGATTTTCCACGCTTGTCCTAAGGTTTGACCACATGACGTTGCCCCAGGGGGTTGCCAAGGGGATGTCTCTCTCACTGATCGCACTCTACCGTCCAATCAGACGAGAGCACGTCAGGGCAGAGCGAACCCCCGGCCGTCTCCTCCGCTCCCCCTCCCAGCTATTGTGACATTTTCGGACAGTTTATTTTTATTTTTTAAAATGTTTTTTTTATGGATATTTAGAAAGAGAGGAAGAGAGAGAGAGAGAAAAACATCCATGATGAGAGAGAACCATGGATCGGCTGCCTCCTGCACGCCCCCCACTGGGGATCGAACCCACAACCTGGGCCTGTGCCCTGACCTGGAATCCAACCCTGACCTCCTGGTTCGTAGGTTGACGCTCAACCACTGAGCCACGCCGGCCGGGCATCATAGTTTATTTTTACAGACACATGCTATCTACCCACGGCGCCTCCTACCCTTTTTACGAGACACCGTGATTTTTATAGCAGCTACAAATAAGAGGAAAGGTCTCTTCTACCTGCCCGAGTCGCAGCCATTCCTGGTCCCTTCATTTCTTTCGTGGCTGGGGTGGGGGGGGTGGGGGGGTGTTTATCCCTCTGTGTGCGCCCACATTTCTCTCGTGTGGAGAGCCCAGGCAGGGACAGATTCCTCCAGGGACTGCTCGTCTGACAAAGTGTCTATTTCTTTTTTATTGAGACATAAATTCACACTCCATAGAATTCACCTCTTCAGAGTGTGAGATTCAGTGGCTTTTTAATACATTTCTATTGGTTTCAGGTAAGAAGGGAGAGAGAAAGAAACATCAGCGATGAGAGAGAATCACTGATCGGCTGCCTCCTGGGCATGTGCCCTGACTGGACTCGAACCCGGGACCCTTCGGTCCACGCCCTATCCACTGAGCCACACCGGCTAGGGCTCATCATTGATGTTTCTCTCTCTCCCTCTCCCTTCCTCTCTGAAATCAATAAAAATATATTTAGAAAAAGATAAAATAGCCCTAGCTGGTGTGGCTCAGTAGAAAGAGTGTCGGCCTGCAGACGGAAGGGTCCCGGGTTCGACTCCGGTCAAGGGCATGGACCTCGGCTGCAGGCTCCAGCCCTGGTCGGAGCATGTGCGAAGGCAGCCAATCGACGTGTCTCCCTCCCTCCCTCCCACTCTCTCTAAAAATCAGTGGAGAACGGTCCTCGGGTGAGGATTAACGAAGATAAATAAGAACAACAAATGTGAGCTCTTATTTATTTCCGAGAGGAAGGGAGAGGGAGAGAGAGGGCGAAGCATCCATAATGAGAGAGAATCATGGACCGGCTGCCTCCTGCACGCCCCACACTGGGGATGGAGCCCACAATCTGGGCCTGTGCCCTGATTGGGAATCGAACTGTGACCTCCTGGTTCATAGGTCGATGCTCAACCACTGAGCCACACCGGCCTGGTGTGAGCGCTTCTCTGTTTTTGTTTGTTTGTTTGTTTTGTTTAAATAATTGAAGGTGGGCTGGCCGGCTCGCCCAAGGAAGGAGAAGTGAGGGAGGTGTGGGTAGGAATGAGCCAAGCGCTGGCCTGTGGACGTGGCGGGCGGGCGGGGGGAAGGGGGAAGGGGGGGGCGGGCTCAGCTTCCTCTGCTTCGATCCGGTTTTATTACCCCCCTGGAGGGGGCCCTCCCGGTGTCTGTGAAGAACGCGGATGTGAGAAGAGGAACCGGAGGCCCCGTCGGGGTTGGCACGGCCGAGGCCCACGTGGGGAGCGGTCTGTTTCATTCCTCTTTCGTCAAGATCCGAACCGAGAAAAAATATCAGCGCCTGGGCCCCTCCCTGAGCTCAACGCTCACGCTCCTCCCCAGCGAGGGGAACCGATGGACCGCGAAGATAAAGGCTGTAAATTAGATTTCCCCCGCGGTGCCTCGCGCCCGGGCGACGGGTAAAGGTCATTGCTGCGCAGGCCCTGTCATTGGAGTCCCCGGTTCTCAAGGGCCCGAGATAACAGCTCCAGGAGGTGGTCTGGCACCTGGGCCCCCACGTGGGCGGTTCGGGGTCCGGGTCACCGGCCAGGGCTGCAGCCCCGACCCCCACCTCCCCCAGAACACAGCAGCGTGGGGTGGGTTTGGACGTGGGCTCTCTCCTCTGTCCTGGAGACCGAAGTCCGTTCCGATCCCCTTCCGGGAGGGAGGCCCCTGGCCCGCAGGACTCCGTTCCCACGTGAAGTCGGGCCCAGGGAGACGTGTCGGCCAACACTTAGGAGCTGTTGTCTCCTACATTTACTGAGCGGGTGCTGCTCTGCAGGAACCAGCCAGCACTTGTGGATGCTGCCCTGTTTCCAAGCCCAGCCTGAGCCTTATGTGCATCATCGCTGGAGGGGGACGGAGGACGCCGGCGACAGGCAGTGGGAAACAGAGAAGTGCGGTAACTTGCCTAAGGACACACAGCAGGTCAGGGGATGGTACAGAGAGGGTGTGAGTTACATCACAGGGCAGGGGAGACCGTGTGTGTGTGTGTGTGTGTGTGTGTGTGTGTGTGTGTGTGTCTTGGACTAGAGTGGATACACTTTTCATCTTTAAAAATATATATTTGTATGGATGTCAGAGAGGAAGGGAGAGAGAGATAGAAACACCAAGGATGAGAGAGAATCATGGATCGGCTGCCTCCTGCACACCCCACTGGGGATGGAGCCCGCAACCCAGGCCTGTGCCCGGACTGGAATCGAACCCTGACCTCCTGGTTCATAGGTTGATGCTCAACCCCTGAGCCACGCCGGCCGGGCTACCCTTTCATCTTCAGTGAACGGAGGTGCAGGCGGGCGGAGGGTCTGGCTGTTGGCACGTGGGGAGCACTGTCCCGAGTGCTGGGGGGTCTGGGGTCGGCTGCAGCCACACAGTGTCCCCTGGAGACAGTCCCAGGGCGTCCACTCACCCCGAAGGGTTAAGGAGAGAGCGGGGTGGGGGCCTCCTGTGCCGGCCGGTGGGCGGGGCGCTCTCCCTCTGCACCCCTTTCTTGGGGCAAACGCAGTTTGTGGCGTGTCGTGCCCCGTGCACTTGTTAATATCCACGGCGATCTGGGGGGCACAGATAAAAAGGCAGCGTCCCAACCACCTCCCTCCCCCCCCCCACACACACACACACACGCATCCGCTGCCTCCCGCCCAGCGTCCTCGGAGCGGACGGAGCTAGGACCCAGGAAGGACGGGGCAGCGGGGATATAAATAGAGGACAGACCAGAACAAAGTTTGAGGAGCAGCCTGACATCACTGCCTCCCTCCACCCCAGGAGCCGCGGACGAGGTCGGACCCGGAGGACCTGGCGGGCGAGTGGGGGACAAAGGTCCCGTGGTCCTCGGTCCCACCCTCGGGGAGCAGGGCCCGTCCGCTCAAACCTGGACGGAGGCATGAAGGCTGCGGGCTGAGCCGGCCGAGCGCCGGCCGGGCTCCCTCCCTCGCGGGGCTGGGCGCCTGCCCGGGGCCCCACGTCTGCTGTCGGATCAGAGCGGCTCCTCGCGCATCCCCACCGCCCGTGGTCTCTGCGACGTCCGTCCGTCCATCCGTCCATCCGTCCATCCGTTCATCCATCCGGAAGCGCTCAGGCCTGCAGACGCGTCCGGCCGCGCGCCGACCCTCGAGGCTCCCCCCGCGGGACCGACACGGATCGCTCTCTGCTTTCAAGAACCTGGGACAGCGTCCCTCTCCCTGGGGCGCGGCCGCTGAAGGCCCTGGTTGCCTCTCATCCTCCACCGCCATGAGGGAGCCGCCGCGGCCCCGGCCCCGCTGGCCCTCCTGGCTGCTGCTACTGTGCTGCAGTTTCCAGGTAACGTCCCAGGCGGGCGCTGGGACCGGGCGCTGGGACCGGGCGCTGGGACGGGCTGGCTCGGGGCGGCCGCGGCTGACGCTGCTGTGTTCTGTGTCCAGGTGCGCCCGGCCCTGTCCAGCTCGCAGGCCCATCCAGGTAAGGAGCTTCCTTCTCGTCCGGTCCCGGCGCTACCTGCTCGCCCTGCCTCGCGGGCGTCGGGCGCCGTCTGTCTCGTCTATCTGTCTGTCTGTCTGTCTGTGAGGAGGTCGGGGCGGCCCTCCTGGTCGCCGTTCTTTTTGTTGTTGTTCGTCCTCACCTGAGGATATTTCTCCGTGGATTTCAGAGCGAGTGGAAGAGAGAGGGAGAGACAGAGAGGAACATCGATGTGAGAGAGACGCATCTATGGGCTGCCTCCTGCAGGGCCTGGGCTGGGGAGGAACCTGCAGCCCATGTGGATGCCCTGGACTGGAATCGAACCCGGGACCCTTCGGTCCACAGGCCGATGTGCTATCCGCTGAGCCACACCGGCCAGGGTGCAACCCCCCCCCAATCCTTTGCTGTGTGAGTCCTCGGCCTAGATGCTGTTTGACGAGGCTTTTTGGGGTGCTTGGGGGACAGAGGCAAACAGCTTCGCCAGAAGGTGGGGCCACCCACGCAGACGGGGAGGCTCAGGGCACGGACGGGAGGCCCGCGTGAGCAGCCGGGTGGGCGTGTGGCCGCATTCCCCCCTTGGCTCCCTGGCCGGCCTGTGTGTGGTGGGAGGAACCCCCACACGAGTGTCCCCACACCCTGGGAGGCAGGCCTGCATCTCGGAGCTGCGGGGGGCCTGGCGGGCGCCCCCCACCGTTACTCCGTGAGCCACCGGCCACCTCAGGGGCGACTCTCTGACAACCAGGGGCTGTGGGCACAGCCAACACGCCCGGTCCTGCTCCGGGGCTGAGCCCGGTCTGTGGACGGAGCCGTGGGCGGGGTGGGCGCGGGACCGGGGTGAGTCAGAGCTGGTGGGACTGTCTCCCGCGGGCGCTGACGCAGGCCGCGCGGGTGTCACACCCCGACTTATCAGCGTGGGAGGGGCGTGGCCACCATCCTTCGTCCTCGAGTTCTAGTTCAGTCGCTGCTGGGAAGGGGGCAGAGACCGTCCCGAGTCGCGGCAGAGAGAGGACACGCGGCCGAGACACCCTCCCCCGTGTAGCCTCGTGGGGAGGAAGCGACAGAGGACGGGGCGGGGGGGGGGGGGGGCGTGTCCTCACCAGGACCATTGACGGGCGGCCCCAGACCCGGCTGCTCACACAGTTAGAGGCCGGGAGACACTTCCCACGTGTGCCAGGGCCACGTCGTGCCCACACACGTCCACACACGTCCACACATGTCCACATGTGTCCACACCCCTCCACACATGTCCACATGCCTCCAGACATGTCCAAATGTGTCCACATGCCTCCACATCCACATGTGTCCCCACATGCCCATGTGCCTCCAGCCACACATGTCCACATGCCTCCACCACACCATTACATGTCCACACACACATGTCCACACGCCTCCACACGCGTGCCTGGCCCTCAGCTCCCAGGAGCGGTTGAGTTCAGTCCTGTTCCCTGTGGAGCTGGTCTCCTCTCGGGGCCTCGCTGGGCAGAGAGGACGTTTCCGGGCCCACCCGCTGCGGCGGGTTTTGCACAAGGAGCCGGAGGGAGGAGACGGCAGCCAGACTCGCAGGCGACAGGTTTCACGTCACAGCAGGTGCCCGCGGAGCCGCACGCGGGGGGTGGTCGGCTCGGCCCCTCGGCCCCTCGGACGCGGGCGTGCGGGCTGAGGCTGAGCTAGAGCCGTCGGTGGGAGACAGTGGTCCCGGCCGTGGCTGCCCGGGGCCCCTCGGACCACAGACCCCGGCTCCCTCCGCGGACGGCACGGGCCCAGGGGAGCCGGCCGGCGGCTCTCCGTGTGGACACGGCCCTCCCTCTCCTGGGCCCTGTGTCAGCGGCGGCGGGCGAACGGGAACACGGCCCCGGCGAGGAGGAGGCCTCTGGAGGCGCCAGCTGCTCCGCCCGCAGCAGATGTTCTGGCCTTTCGCGCGTCCTTCTCCCCGAGGAGCTGAGAACCAAGTCGGGCTGTTCCCCTCGGCCCGAGGAGGAGCCAGATGTCCGACAGGGAGGCCGGGCGACAGGAGGACGGAGACACGTGTTATATTATTGGTTAAGCCTCCCCCCCCCCCCAGGATAGTTTTTCCGTTGATTTATTTTCTTTTTAGAGAGAGTGTGGGAGGGAAGGGGAGAGACACAGAGAGGGAAACATCGATGAGAGAGAGACCCCTCGATGGGTCGCCTCCTGCACGCGCCCCGACCAGGGCCGGGGAGGAGCCCGTGACCGAGGTACATGCCCTCGACTGGAATCGAACCCGGGACCCCTCAGTCCGAGGGCCGACGCTCTCTCCACTGAGCCGGACCGGCCAGGGCAGCACCTTTTCATGTATCAAAAAATAATGTGCATTTCTTTGTCTTTGTTTATGTCCTTTTCCCCAACGTTCTTTCGGTGGAAAGGTTCTTCACATAGTAGGAGCTTTATGCCTGTCATGTATGTAACACACGGAAACAGCAACCGGGACGCGGCCGTCCCGTGTGTCACGTGACCGTGGCCCCCCAGTCCCGTGTGGCTCGGTGTATGGTTCGGTGCGGACTTTAAAAAATGTACGTTGTCAAATCTACGCCCGTTTGCCTCCCAAGCGTCTCTGTTTTATTGCGTTTAAGTGTCGATCCCTTAGACGTCGCCGGCGAAGAGCGAGGTCTGTGGGCGGCTGATGGTCCCCAGGCCTCGGACCAATGCTGTGTCTCCTCCGATTAGAAATGCCACCTCGATCGAGAATCACTTCCCGCAGGTGCTCGGGGGTGTTTGTGGGTGTTTTCGCACGGCCTGTCCGCCCTCGGGCGCACCCGGTCGTCTGTATCGGGCGGCTTTACCCTCATCCTCTCCTGCTCTCGCCAGATTTCCCTCGTTTTTCTTGCTTATTTATTTATTTTTCTTTTTAAAAAAAATATATATATTTTTAAATTTATTTCAGAGAGAGGAAGGGAGAGGAAGAGAGAGAAGCATCCATGAGGAGAGAGAATCACGGACCGGCTGCCTCCTGCACGCCCCCCACTGGTGGGGATCCAGCCCGCAACCCGGGCCTGTGCCCCGACCGGGAATCGAACCCTGACCTCCTGGTTCCTGGGCCGACGCTCAGCCACGGAGCCCCGCCGGCCGGGCCGCGCGTGCTTTCTCTCTATCGGACGCACTCGCACCTGCGCGCGTTCCCGCCGTGGTGTCCGGCGAGGCCGCCAAGGGCCGCAGAGGCCATCTGTCCGCCTCCGCGCTGCATTCTTCCATTGTTTGTAACCGTTTCTCACTCGCTAAATTCTTTTCTCATTTGTCATGGTTTTCTGTTTTTTTTCTCTGAGCTGGTTGTGAGCACACAGCGTCTGAAAATAACGATCCTATTATCTTCTTTCAAAACGTTTATTGCGGGACTAGCACAAGGGTCACCGTATTCGTTCTCCGCGCCTGGGCCCTGGCAGACGTTAGGGCGTCTGATCAGCGTTTAGTCATCGGGCGGTCCCGCACTTCTGGGGAGCGGCCCAGGGAGCCGGCCCGAGGGGGTCAGGGGGGGACCTCCGCGGAGTGGGGGACTGGACAGGGCGGCCCCTCCGGCCACGGTCCCCACGCTCACCAGGAAGGTGGAGAAAAGCAACTAGCCCGGCGGCCGGCGTGGCTCAGGGGCTGAGCATCGACCTGTGAACCGGGAGGTCGAGGTTCAATTCCCGGGCAGGGCACAGGCCCGGGTCGCGGGCTCCATCCCCAGTGGGTGGCGTGCAGGAGGCAGCCGGTCCATGGTTCTCTCTCATCACGGATGTTTCTCTCTCTCTCCCTCTCCCTTCCTCTCTGACATCCATAACAATAGATTAAAAATAATAAAAAGCAGGAGAGAGCATTGAGTGTATGCCCAGCTCTGAGCTGACGCCTTGTCCTTCGTCCCCAGGGTTCAAGGTCTTGCTGACCGCCTCCCACTACTGGCCCCTGGAGCATGTGGACGGCATCCATGAGCTGCAGGAGACGGCTGGAGGTACACGCGGGTGGCGAGGGCGCCAGGGAGGGCACGGGGCGGGGCGGGGCGGGGCGGGGCCCCGGGAGAGACGCGGGAGCAGCAGGTGCGTGGCCGCCGGGACGCGTGGCCGCCCCTACTCGTCGCTCTTGCAAAGCAGCAGACGAGAGAGTAGGGATGTTGGTGACGGAAGGTCGGAATCGATTCAGAACATGCCGGCATACGCTCCCCGGGAGCCAGACGCTGCGTCTCGAGGGTTAAGCTATAGGCGGGACCGTCGCCTTGGGACTGGGGACTGGGTCACCTCGGTGCCGTCCGCGGGGGCCCAGCTGTGCTGCACCGAGGGCTGTGCCCACCCAGACGGGCTGGCGTGTTCGCCGCGCGGTCTCGCTCAGCAAAGGTGCCCCCGCCTGCCAATCAGCTGGTCCCCGCATCAGGGCACCTCCCCCGTGGAAAGCGAACTGCGACCTCCCGGTTCAAAGGTCGCCGTGCACCCCCACCCACCGGCCCCTCCCGGACGCACCCGCCTTCACGGACAGCGTCTCCTTCTGACTCGATCCGGAACCTCTGCCCGGAGACGCCCCGACATTCCTGAGCGATTTCTTTTCTAATCAGAACTTTTATTCTATTTTTTAAAATGTTTTTATGGATGTCAGAGAGGAAGGGAGAGGGAGAGAGAGAAACATCAATGGTGAGAGAGAACCATGGACCGGCTGCCTCCTGCACGGCCCCCACTGGGGAAGGAGCCCGCAGCCCGGGCCTGGGCCCTGACCGGGAATCGAACCGTGAGCTCCGGGTCCTTAGGTCGAGGCTCACCACTGAGCCACACTGGCCGGGCTCAATCAGCCCCTTTGGTGTTTGGAAAACTCTCATCCATGAAAAACCTTCTTATGAGAGGACGTCATCCCTCAGACACACTCAGTCTGTGGCCGAACCGTGGCTCCCGACGCCTCCCTCCCCGTAACGTCTCCGTGTAGACGTTCGCCCCGAGCCACGCGGGCGATGAAGGGCTCCCTGCAGACCGTGCCGAGCCCGTGGTTTATGGCACCAGGCCGTGCGGGCCCCTTCCCATCAGCTGAGGAAACCCCGCAGAACGAGCCGGGACAGCCCGGCTGTGGGGAGAAACCTCCGTGGACGGGCAGCGTTGGTCTCTGTGGCTGGCTCCTCTGTCGTGTGTGCACGTGTCTTCATATCACGTCCCTGTCTCCACGCCGTGTCTCTGTCCCACCCGTCCTGTGCCATCACCACCGTCCATCCTCCCGTGGCGAGCTCAAGGTCATCTCTCTCAACGGGATGTCCAGGTGGGCGTGGAGCCCGCTCGCTGGGCCAAAGTGTGTGGCCAGGTTCCGTGGCCTCGTCCCGTGGCCTCATCCCGTGGCCGTGGCGCTCCGGGGCTGTCGTGAGCCATCCTGTGGCTGCACAGCGAGGGGCGGGGAGGTCCGAGAAGGCGCCCGCGGCGAGGGGAGCGCCCCGCCCGGATGCGGAGCCGCTGAGAGATGTGCCCGTGGCTCTGTGTTGCGTGTCACTCATCTGTTGTGCTTTCTTCCTTCTGTTGCCCACCCAGCATGGCGAGCCCGCAACCTCACCGCGCCCCCTTCCCATAACGCTACCTTTGTGCCCACCAATGACTCTGCCTACTCCAATGCCTCTGCGACCATAGGTGAGCACGTGCCCCCTCCCGTCCGCCGCCCGGCGCCCCCGGGTGTGCGGTTCCGTGTGAATTCTCTCTGTCACAGCGAGCGGGCGGGCACGCCGACGCCCAGGGAAGGAGGAGACCAGGGTTTCTGTGGGTTTTTTCAATATATTTTTATGGATTTCAGAGCGGAAGGGAGAGGGAGAGAGAAAGAGAAACATCAGTGATGAGAGAGCATCATGGATCGGCTGCCTCCCGCACGCCCCCCACTGGAGATGGGCTCGCGACCCGGGCACGTGCCCTTGACGGGAACCGAACCCCCGTGACCTCCTGGTTCACAGGCCGAGCTGAACCCCTGAGCCACCC